CCGTTGGGGGTGCAATATGCAAATGAATCAAATTTCTTCCATGTGTCCGCCTTTGCATTCGTGTATTTGTGTTTTTGTTTGTTTGTTTATTTGCACGGAACAGCTCACTTGCAACTGTATGCACCCTATACACACACACACACACACACCAGAGCACTCGGAAACACACACCCATAAAAGCAAATATACATACACACCCACCGTTGCACACCTGAAAGTAGGTTAACTCGTTTTTACGGTTCAATTTTTTACAGTAATGCACGAAACGTGACGAGCAAAAAAATGGGTAACAAACAAAATATATATATTTATATTTTAAGGAAGATTTGTTAAGAATACCATAAAGGCAAGAAAAATTTTATGGTTAAGGGGCTTTGATTTTTGGAACAACTAATTACCTAAAAGATCTGAGAACTAGAGTCCTGATGAAAATATGTAAAAACTAATCATTAAATCTATTAAAAATACAAGAAATATATAAGAACTACAGTTGTTTTAAATCTCTTATAAAAGCCAAATTGTTTTGGAACATGAGAGACTTATCTTTTCCATTTCTATCTACGCTTTCAATAAATTAAAAGCTTTTTTCCATTTTAAAAGAATTCCCATCAGGCTTATGTCTATGAATTTTATGTTCTGTTGAAGATTCTCTTCAATAAATTAAACAAATGGCAAACATAAACATTTGAATTGTATGCTTCTTATTATGAAGAATATTAGCTCATTGGTTTTTATTAATTTCTAATGACTCAAGGTCTTTAGTCGGCTGATTTAAATTCAATAAATCAACATCAAATATTTAAACTTCTCAGAAATGAATCAAATTATATTCGTTCATCATTATTTTCTTAGCTTTAAACATTTTGCTGACCCCATGCGTCTGTCTCACTTAAATTAAGTTAATCAAACACAAAAGTTTCGAGAGCAACAACTTCAGCTAGTTCAGAAAACGGAAAACTAAATGGAAAGTCTCTCGTTGCACTGCTGCGACCTTCTCCTCTTTCCGATTGAGAACCAAATCCCCTCCTCGATATACCGACGGCAAAGCAACTTGGAAATCGAGAAACTGGCACAAGTGGACACTGAAGAGTCATCGACAGGACTATGGATGGGGATGCAAATGCAGATGAGAATAAGAATGAGGACGTGAAACGACCCCACCTGGACAAAGGGTCAAAGGCCACTGGGCAAACAATGGCAGCAGGACCAGCAGCGCAGTAATAATCCAGGCAAACGCTCCTTTGTTTAAAAAGGACAAACAAAATTAATATATGTAGTTCTTAATATAGCAGTTACGAATACTAATTAAAAGCGCTTTACAAAAGAATAATGTAATTATTTGTTTAGGTACATATATCCCTGAAGAATATATACTTTTTTGCTAAGACTGCAACTTAGATTTCCTAAGGTGATTTTTGTCGAGAAACTCTTAAAAGCTTTGATTTAATTTTAAGAGCCTGATCCCTTAGCATTTTAAAAATTTAAGTACTGGCAAGTATTTCTTAATATTTAATTAATAAAAGAAATAATACAAGAAAAATAAAAGTATTTAATAAATTATATATAATTAGAGAATTAATTAACCATTTTATTAAATCATGGTTTAATATAAATCAAATATTTAAATTTAACTAAAAAACACATTCTCGTGTTTATAATATCTAAAATATTATTAAATACTAAATATAATTAATAACTATATAAATAGAACAATATTATAGATTTTAATATTAAAAAAACATATGAAAAACAAATGAATACAAACTTTTAGAAGTGAAAATCAAGAGAAAAAGTATAAATTTGTAAAGGAAAAGGATTTTTACATGATTTTGTTCTTAGAAATGCAGTTTTTCACATTTCCCCACATTAATATATAGGTTTTCCTTAATATTCAATATTTATTAAAACTTTTTTGTGCGTGTGGCCCCTTTTTGTACTCACCTTGAGTTGAGATTTCCTCTTGAGGGCGGCAATTGAACGAGTTTGCTGTCGTAAAACCTCCAGGGCAGATGCAGAGGTCGAAAATCAAAATGAAATTGAAAACTGATTCCGGCGAATAAAAAAAAATCTGAAATCAATGGAATGAAAAGCGTGAACTCGGAAACTCTCACGAAATACAATTTTGTTTTCAATTTTTTTCCTTTTGTTGTTAACTGTATACTCTAACGAGAAGTTTGTCTTTTTAAGTAAAACTAGATGTCACAAAAGACAAATTTAAAAATATTTATTTATACTTAAAATATTTATATCAAACAAATAATAAAAAAAAACAAGTTTATAAAGTATTTCAAGTAGTAAGAAATCCTAATTAAAATGAATAAACAAGCTTTAAAATGTAATTTAATTTTAATACAAAAATAATTATATGTATTTCAATTTACAATTTGAAATTATTTAGTTAATTCAAATAAAAAGTGTTCTATATTGTATTTTAATTATATAAAGACACAAAAGCTTTTATTAATTATTATTTTATTGTGTTTTAAATATTCCAAAATAACGAGAGCATCCAAAATTTGAAAACGGTTTTATAATTTTGGTTTTTTTTTTAGTTGTTTACGTATGCGTGAGCAGGAACGGCCCGAAAAAGATGAAAAACATTTTGTGTTTTCAAATTATAAACAATTTTGCCAACGAGAATCGCTTTCAATATTTCCCATTAAATTTCCATTGATTGCTTTGTTTTGGCTCTAATTGCACGTTTTGACTGACTTATTATGTGGGGGCGATGCTTCAGCGTTTATTTCATTTTTCCGATATTTAAGAATAATTGCGAATAATTTTCTTTTGGGTTTCTCTTTCACTTTAACGAATAACCTTGCACAATTTTATACAATTTTAAGGGAAACAGCACAGGCGGGGCAGGGGGAATGCATTTTATACTGTATATTTCCGTTACGTGCCGTGCAACCGGAAGTGCACACACACACACACAAACACTGCACTATGGGGTTTTTGACCAGTTTTTGTGGCATTAATTAATAACTCGGTAAGTTTTGAAGATATCGACATGAAACTTTACCAATCATCATTATTTGTCCCTAGGCACATATAGTATGAAAATCGTTCGGATCAGGAATCTATATCCTATAGCTCCCATAGGAACGATCGGGTAAAAGTAAAAATAAATTAATGAAATTTAAGGAGCTTATATTTGTTGCTATTTTAACACGATATAGCAATTTTGAACAAAATCGGACAACGCTTTCCCTAGGAACCAAAATAACCAAAATACCGGAAATCAGTGTTTTTCCATACAAACAGCTACCAAATTGGCTCTGAAAACAGTGAGGTTATCTGAGAAAAATTCAAATTGCAACAAAAGTGCGGAAAAGTGCACGATAAGACTAACTGATTTTTGCTCAGAATTGACAACGCTACAACATACACTTGGACGCATTGAAAACTAATGCGAACTTCTATTTCAAAACTCTTCCCAAAGTTTAAATTTGTTTCTCAAAATTCAGCTTAAGGTGCATTTATAAAATGACAAAATGTCAGTATAAACACGCACAATTTAAACAATTAATACCTTTAACATGTAGTTAAAACCTGTGAAATCAGTGTCCATTAGTTTTTTCCTTTGCAAATTGTGTCTTACACGAATAGTTTAATTTCAAAGATCACTTCGTAAAAATTACAAACTTAGCAGACGCGCTTTCGGATGCAACAGCTGACTTTAAAGCTCTGTTGCTAACATATGCTGTTAAGTATTAACATTTTGAGTATGAGGCATAACAGTTCGATGTTTTGTTAATACAATCCCACTATTTTTTTTTAAATATAAGAACTTTTAAAAAATGACTAAATGCCACAAAAAGTGGTCAAAAACCCCATAGTGCACTGGCTAAAAAATACCAACACAAGTACACTCAAGTGCAGGAGGTTTTCTTCTTTTTTTCGAAGTGGTTTGGTAACTTTTTTAAGGGGGTGTTTGACCCATAAATGAATTTATGCCAATTTAGAAAGCCAAATAACAATCGAGGGCTCAGCGGGGAGGAATTAAGAAAAGGGGGCCCAGGGGGGTTTATTACAGGGGGGCGGGGGCGTTGGTTAACCAATTAAAACATGTTTTTTTCCTTTTTCATGGGGGGTTGTTGTTTATTTGCTTGATATTTCCCCCGAGCTTGTTGTAACAGAGGGAGAACTTGTTTTTGGCCAACATAACCGGATATATTTGTGCAATTATTTTAATGGCCTAGACACCAACACAAACACACGCACGCACACACACACAGAGTTGGAAAAATATTCCCTGGACAAGCCCTTTTTTCCTTTGATATTTACTTTTTTCTGTTTTCTCACTTTTGATAATGGGAAATTTATATATTTTTGGGTTTTTCTATTTCTAATATATTTCCCGTGGGCGCGTCGCTGCTGCTTTGCCGAGTTTTCCGAGTTTTCCGTGCGCCTTGGCCAGCAGTCGACTTGCAACTGAGCGAGTGGAGAACTCGAAACAGCTGAAAAACTGCAAGGACTCCCGACCCCTTGATCCGATCCCAAACAAAAAAAAAAACCGAATCTTGCAGCCCCAGACGAACTCTAAACCGAATGCGAGTACATGTTTGTGGGTACCGGCGAAGGGGGAAGGGCTGTCTCATTGATGGTGGCCCCAAAAACTCAATGAATGCGCCAAGCCGGCTGCAAGGCGCATGTGTCCTGTAGTAAAACGACAGCAAGGATAATGAACTCTCTGCCAAGTGCAGGTCGCTGCTTGGGCTTTTAATTAGAGGGAGTGCTTAATGAATAATTATTTAGTATTGTTATTATTATTAATGAATTATTTATACATGACAGCACTTTAAAATTATAGTTTGGCCTGAATATACAGTTAATAACAATATGTCGCATTTTCTTAAATGTTTGAAATTACCGCCAAAATAAAATTTAGACTTAGCCAACACTGTAAAATGTCAACTATCGCCGCCAGTTATCAGCCTTCGATTTTGTTATCGATGTTTCCCCACCGATTTTTTTGTGTAAACTCGTACGGTCACACTGGCAGTCTATAGAGTGACCGTTGCTGAATATTTGTAAACAAAATACAATTTTTCTTTCTTTTTTGTTTATAATGCTGCTGGCCAATATAAAATGCAGTGACCAGGAGGACGCTGGCGACGAGGAGGAGATGCAGATAAGCCCAGGCGACGTCGATCCTCCCTGGATCCTCGAGAACTACGAATCTGAGGACGAATTCAAGGAGGCCCATCAAATCCGAACCCTTCGCTGCAGCCTGCCTAGATGCCCGTACAGGACAAACAGGACCCACAACCTGTGGCGGCACGAGGAGAGACACAAGCGCCCGGTGGAACCAAAGCCATTTGGCTGCCCCGTCTGCATCTACAGAACCGATAAAATTAACAACTTGAGGCGGCATGTAGCCATCCGACACCCAAAATCGGCCTCAGTGGCGGAAGATCCGGATGAGCCACCGGTCGCGGCGCCCCGCAAAATCCACTGCCAGGTGCTGGGCTGCCGTTACGAAACGAATCGGGCCTATGACCTAAAGCGCCACATGGATGTGCACAACAATGTGGAGAAGAGCCACAAGAAGTACAAGTGTTCCCTGTGCATGTACAGCTCGGATAGAAAGGCCAATCTCAAGCGGCACCTGGAGCTGCGACACTCTGGCATCGAGGACACCGTAACGACTGCAGAAGAAGTAAGGGAGGAGCTACACTGCCAGGAGCAGCAGCAGATACTAGAAGAGCAAGGGCAGCACGAGGAGCTCTTCAACGATTTGATAGAGGACCTTGACGGGGTGAAGGTCGAAATCGAGGGGAAGGAAACGGAGGAGCAAGTGTACGAGCAGCTGGAGGAGGAGGAGGAACCACCCCTGATCACGATATCCCCATGGAAGCCACCGGTACTCCATGGAGACATTACCGACAAGCAAGTGATTGTAAGTTAAGCGAATTCAAGATTTTCTAGCCCTAGTACGACCCTTCTCGTTTCTGACCAGGCTGTCAACGTGAATGGCCAGCTACGTTGGTTCCAATCAATCGATCCGCCGCCTGGCGCTGTGTCAAAACACCTGCAACTGGCCATGGAGGAGCAGGAACAGCAGGCGGCTTCGGATCAGCAACAAATGGACGAGCTGGACGACGAGTTGGCCTTGTCCCTGGCCCAGCAGGACCAAGAGGAGGAGCTTCTGGTGGAAATGCTAACCGAAGATCAGCCGTGGAGCTTTCACATTTCCAACGAAATGTTGGCAACTCCCAACCAGGAGGAATCGAAAGACTCTAATTTCCCCAATTGGTGGGACGATGGCGAGTACACAAAGATGCACAAAAACCAAACGTTTCGGGATCACCGGCAAAAACCCTCAAAGGCTATTGTGCAACGCATACTGCGCAACATCTATGACATATACTACAAGCCCTTCAAGGAGGAGCGCAAGCAGTCCGAGGTGTTCCAGATCAAGGACTCGTGGCTATGCGCCACCCAGATGACACGCATGCAGATAATTAAAGACATGTACTCGAAGCAGGGCACATGAAGTTTACAGTTTAAGCTAAGCAATAAAAGAAAGGTATTTAATAAATTAAAATGTAGCTTTTTATTTAAAAAATACCATCAAATTAAATTCCATTTATTAAATGTTTAAGTCTGACATTTCTTCAACAGTTTTCAGGCCTGACAAATGAAAAACAATTTACTGGCACAACTATAATCATGCATTTCACCATTATCCATGGCGACGCATTCCTCATCGCCTTTGTTGGGCTGATTACTGCCCCACTTTATAAAAGGTATCCTGCCGGTGGCCGAAGATGTGTACTCGAACTTATTGGCCAGATTATGGATGTCCAGCCAAAAGCCCACGTCGTACGTTGAATTAACCTTTGCCGCAACAGCCCTCCGCTCCACTTCGTCCTCTATGATCGCCAGCTGACCACCCATCCGGCGACACTTGTCTGAGGCGGCAAACCAATTCAACTTGGTGCTCCTCTCGATGTAGAAAAACCTGCTGCCTATCTTTTGAAAATCCGGTGGGATGTTTTTGGATTCCTTTGGATTCTGAGCACAAGAGAGTTTCTGCTGCCAAAGTGTTTCCATTCTATCCAGCTTTGCCAGCAAGTCCTGCGAGAGGATCCTTTCCAACTTATTCAGGGTTTCTTTGCCGTTGGAAACTAGAATTTCTTGCTGATCTGCCATCCTGTTGAGCCTCGTCGCGATGTCCTGCGCCGGCATGGCCGCCCTTACGGCTTTCTCAAGGGACGCCTGCTGGCCTTCAATCCTTTCCAGCTTTGCCTGGGTTTCATTAAGACCTAGGGCATCGGAGGTACTCCACTGGTCTTGGTGTTTGGCAATGTGATTGACCATTGGCTTCACTACGGACATACAGAAGGATCCGCACTGGTTTTCTGGATCCTTCAGTAGGCACACAGAGCCTTCGGGGGGTACCAAAGAGCCTTCCACAAACAATGGAATAATTGCGAATATAAAGAAGGTTGCGGATTTAGACATAGCTGCGGGAATATAATCAGCTAATGCGAATGATTCTATGGAACTGATCTGAAATATGCAGTGAACTTTCGACGAGACTGATAATCGCTGATAAGCTCGTTCCAAGAATGCGCCGAAAATTCAAGTCAAGCTTCAAATAAAAAGATCGACACCTGTCGACACAGTCAGATTTGTATAAACAATATGAAGACATATATATTTAAATTATTGAGATGCATGGCCTGGTATTAAGTAATTTAAGTGAAATAAGTTATATTCTGGTATTCTTGAATGCATAAATATCATAGTTATTATTTTATAGCAAAGACCAAATAAAAAAATTTTAATTGTGAATTTTTTAAATTATAAGAATTTGTTTGAGTGTATTAAAATAAATTAAAAAAAGATTTCAGGTTCGAATATCAGCTGCGGTTTGCGTATCAGGTGTAACACAGTATTTTTTAGGGCGAAATTTCAATTATTCATTTGGCAACACTGAAAGCATCGATAATATCGATAGTGACATCGCCGACATTTTCCACCTCTAGTTCGCCAAGTAAATTTTAGCAGCGTTGCAGTTTTTTTGCATTTTAATTACTTTTCCTGACCGAAAAAGAAGACACCTCGCTGGCTAGTTGTGCACGAAACCCCAGTGAAGTGGTCAATTATTCAAGTTGGCAAATTGAGAGAAGAGTTTGGAATCGAGTGCGGACGTTGCAAAAACAAAAGACGCAGCCGGAAAAGTGCGAAACAGACGCCGCTGGTGAGTCGTAATTTATGTTTATTTTATGCCAAAAATACTGGGATATAAATGAAGATGTCTGGATGACGCTGTGTGCATTGAGTTCCTTTTGTTTATTTAATGACTGGCTGGACTTCTTCCTCTTCCCCCATGCTCATTTTCCTTTTGTTTGACTTTTTGGCGCAATATTACTCGCCACGCCGGTGCGAACAAATCTCGGTGCTCTCCCTAGAGATGACACAAATTAAAATAATATCGGGGTCTTTGTCATATACTCAATTAAATTAATTCTAGTTACTATTATTTAAAATTAAATATCAACGATTTAATATAAGACTTGACAAATTTTCACATATATAATTATGGTAAAATTTTACACTTATCAGGTCGTACGGTTAATTGTTGAAATGCGTCTGGTCGGGAAGCATAATCTTTATTTTAAGCAAATTAAAATTATATATATATATTTTGTATTTTTGTTGCGGTATGTTCGATAGCTGCTGGGCACTTGTCACTAACGCGTCTGTCATGTGCCACGCGGCGTGGCAACCCTGATGCTTGGCTCTAAAAAACAAATTCCTGGAAAGAATTTCGATTTAAGTTTTAGCATTTAACTGTGTGTGCATCTAAATAATAAAAGGTGAGTTTTTTGCCCTTGCGATCAGACAACGCGTGCTGCGTTTTATTGAGGTTAGGGCGAGCTGAGTGCAGAATGCACTTTGCTGATGGCGCTCAAAGTATTAAACAAACTCTTTTTCGCACAAGAACAAACATGGCTTGGGTCCCGAGCACTCGATTTGAGGATGATCTGGTGGATATGGAACCGGGCTTCAATTTGATCCATGGCCAGCTGGACTACGAGGAGCGGCGGAAAAAGGAGTTTATCCCGCGGCCCAAGAACACCTACGAGTACTTGTCGGCGCGCGAGAAACGGAACGCAGAGCTGGAGAGCAGGTCCCCAGAGGGTGAAAAGGCCCGGGAAATCCGTCAGAGCCTAGAGTTGATGGAGCGCATCCAGCGGATAGCGGGCACCAAGCCTCTGGGCGAGCATGCAACCATGGCGGACTTGGAAGACACTAGCACTGTTGAGCTAGAGGCGGTGGCCATGATGCGGCACTTTGGCATGATGTCCATGGCCGGAGTCCCGTTGTCAGTTAAATCATTCTACGAGGAGAAGCATGCAGGTGAAATGCCAGTGCAAGGATCTGTGCAGGTCTCCCGAAATGGTCACCGAACCTTCCCCCTTATTATGGATCCCAACTATTTTACACCCCGTAAGACGCGTAGACCACAGACCACCTCCTTTGATGGTAATGATACTACAAGTTCTTATCACACAGCAGAAAGTTGGACCAGCTGCAATAGTGTGTACGAATCAGCTAAATCAGATTTGGAAAGCAGCATCAGCAGTGCAGAAGTCCCCAAAAAGTCAGAAAAGTACATTGAGATACCATACCAACTCCTAGAGGAGAGTTTGGAAGAGGAGGAGGAGAAGCCGCCAGCAATTCAGGAGAAGTCAAAGGGAAAAAGGAAGGGACGGCGGCCAAATCAAAAGGAACGCCAAATGTCCCACAAAAAGCAGCAATATCAGCTTTAAATTCCTATATTAATTTACTAAGAAAATACAAGTATCTAATTTCAAATTAAACAAACAAGAGCAAAAGAAAAATGCGATAGGAATACAACAACAAAACATAAAAAAAGAAACAGAAAGAAAACTGAATAAGAACTGAAACCAAACAATAATTGAATGTGATTGTTGATAACAAGAAGGGATTTTACATAAGGTCACTAAACTCGGAGGCCATAAATCCAAATTAGTTATAAGTATTGAACTGAAATGCAAGTACAATTAAATAAGAGTTGAAAATAGTTTACAACCCACATGGGCACGCCGTGGCTCTTTCAGCATCTGCTCGTCGCGTTCGTTACAAACAAAAGGCAGCAGAAATTTGGAATCTGAGAGGATCGCACAGTGCCTGGATCTCGAGTTTTCAACAACAAATTAAATACTGTTTTTCATTTTTCAAAGAAAATCCAACATTTTAAATGAAATGAATAGTTTTACCAATAAACAGCTTTATCGAGACCGATGCTTATAATAATAACCTTTTTATTATAATTATTTGAATATCAAAATCTGTCTTTCCTATAACAAAAATTCTAAACCAATCAAATTCAATTCCATAAATTCAATGAATGTTTTTGGAGAAGTTTTTCTTTTGTTGACTATTATATCTATTAAACCCTCATAACATGTTCTTAACTTCCATTCAATTTCCCTAATTGAATCAGTAGATGAAGTGAACATTTCGCAAACTTATCAAAAATAATGGAGGGAGCAGTAATTCCTTAATCAATAACACACCCCAACCCCTACTGTTATTGTCCTTGTGTGTGGAACTATTATTAATTTGGCGAAACCGACGCGCCAATCAATTAAGCCTAATAATCTGTCCCACAGACTCGGGAGGGATACATGAAGAAATTGGCTCACAGCACGAAATAAATTCTCCGGGATTTGGAGGAGGAGCAAATGTGAGTTTGAGTTAAAACAGTCTAGCTTCTATATCCTCAAACTATAGGAACACACTACTTACATTTTCGAATCTTTCCATTAATTAATAAATTTGTTTATTCAAATCTACTTGTCATTTACAATATTGAATATTGAAATAAAGACTTTATCATATGTTAATATGTTATGTTAAAACTGAATAAAAACATGCTAAGTTTCTTTAATTTATTTGTATATTCTTTAAAAGAGCTTTTCGAAAATGAGCTATAGGGAAGTGATACTGTATTTGGGTGGTGGGAGTTATTCTGTCTCGTTTTGTCTGTCTTCCTTTCGCGGCGGCTGTTGCTCTCTCATCTCGTTTTTGCTGGCAGCTTCTTTCTCGCCCGAGAGTGTGAACACACGCACACCAAATACCTTACTATGCGCCACGAACTGCAAGTTTTCAATTTCCGTGGCAACCGCGTGCTCCTTTTGTTTTCTTCTTCTTTTTACGGTTTGCTTTATTCCTTTTCTTATTTTTACGTGGTTGTCAAGCCAAAGATGTTGGTGAAATTGATGCTGTAGTTGTTTTATGCACAAGCCTGCTTATATTGCAATATTGTTGTTGTTGTTACGCAGTTGTACACACGGACACACATGAAAAATATTGATGTAGTAGGCAGTCCAGTCAGTGATAGGGGAGGAAAGGGCAGACTCTATATGCTCTATTTGTACATTCATACATATTTATGTACATATGTTTTTGTCGTCTATATGTAAACGAGTCTGAAGTCTCAGCTTTACGCGCTGAACGAAAGGCGAAGCAAAATCAAAAATAAAGAAGGAGTTCGACAAATGGCGCAAGCTATTAAAATAAATATGTACAAGCTCTCTTTTGAGGTGGACCAACAAATTTTAAAATATTTAAAGTCTTCTTACAAATGTGTACATATTCTTTATATTATTTTCAAAACGTTCTTTTTGGGGTTAACTGACAATATTTTCGCTCCCCATTCTCATCATCATTCTCATCAGTTCTAAATTACATCCAAGAAGCCCAGACTGCGGAATTATCATATTTTGCTGTTTGTTTCGGATAAAGTCCACCCCAATTCCTACGCACACGAGCTCCGGCGAGAGTTTCTGACGCGACGTCAACTAAAGCTGACGCTCAAGCTGCCGAAAGGTGGGCAGAGGTGGGAAACAGAGGGGGAGAGAGCTCAAAGGAGCAACAGCCCTCGCGGGCAGCCGGCTTTCTGCTCAGCCGCTGCCTCTGCCACCATGGGCAGAGTTGACATCGCACAGTGGGCAAGTGGTTTGAAAAATGCAGCTACATTTTTGATAATCTTCTTTGGTGAAAAGAAAGGATACATTTTCCACTGTGCATTGCTGAACTTGAGCCAGCAGCCAGATGCTGCGAGAGAGAGGGCATGGGCATCCCTATCTATCCCTCTTTTTGTTTTTGGCGCGCGCAAGCGTAAGCTCTCTCTCGGTCTCTGGCTCTCCAGGTCTCTCTGGAAGTTTCGGTCTCTACTCAGGCTTTCGGTGCGAGCTAGCGGCAGTTTTAAATCAACTCTCAAACAGGACGAACCGCATGCGAACAGGATAATGGAAAACAACTAAAAGAAAAAACAAAGCCGCTTCGTTATAGTAAATTAATAGTAGTACAACTACTACTACTACACTTGTAGAGGCGCTTTTTAATCGAATCGAACGGTCGGCAGGGGGAAACTCGGGGATGGCGGAGTGCAAGGACCACGAGGCTGCGGCCGCTTCACCGAATTTGGGATACAGACAAAACGCGGCTCGCAGGATACCGGATACGTCTCTTTCCCTGCCTGTCTGTGTGTTTGCGCGTGTGTTTGTGTCACATCCATTCAGGAGGCTAAAAAGAAAAGAGATAGCAGACATCACTCAGTGGTGACTTTCTTGGCGAAATCCAAATATCCAAGGAAAACGGTTCGGTTTCTTGATTTCTCGGTATCGGGGTAGTTCCTAAAGCTCCAAGAAGAAGAAACCACGATGATGAACCCGAAGAAAACGAACGGGGAAGCCGTCAAAGAAACATCTTCGCTTCTATTGTGCATTTCATTCCTTTGAATCGCCAACAAAAAATATGGAGAGTCCAAGAAAAAGTAAGAAAATCAGTAGATACTTTTGAACTTGATCATCGTTAAATAAAAATTAAAAAACTGTAAACTGCCTGTCAATCTCAGATAGTGCTTGAATCCCTGAGACGCATACCATCTTAGTTTTGAGTCTATCTTGTAAAATCCGCTGTTTATTGAAGTTAAATATCCCTTAATAAAAAACAAATTAAATACTGTATTAAAAAACTATATTCTTTATTCAATCTACGTCATCAAAAAAAAATTTTAAATATATTATTTATTTATCTAAACCCAACAACCCACATACTAATTTGTAATAAATTTTTAAATAATATCCGTCAAAAACTTTCAAAGATCTTGTACGACAATTTACAGTCTCTTTCTTAATAATAAAAAACTAGCCCATTTTAATTTTATGTAATGGTAATTATTAATTTTCCAAATTTTCTATTGCTCAATCACAGTAACCTCATTATTATTTGTATTACGACAGAAAATGTACACCTAAGAACTCCTTGAAGAACTTATTAAACATTTAAATTTAACAATAATCAAAGACTATTTATGATAAAGAAGATTTACTTAAAGTTTAGGGTTTTAGGCAAAATGTATATCAATTAAAGTTTATTAATGTTATTCAAAGATATTTTTAAAAAGTTATTAAATTACTAATCATGTGTTATTGTCCTCTGAAGCCTTTAAACAGCACAACTAATTGCACATGCTGCTTTCAATTTTTTTTTCCCAACTTTTTAGCTGCTGTCTTTTCCTTCTCTCTTTTTTTCGCAACGCCCGCGAAATAAAAAGGAAAAACCCGAGGTTACGGGCGACGCAAGGGGAAAAGCAAGCTGAAAAAAAACAGCAGATAAAAAATAAAAAGTACAAGGAAAAAAACTTGCAGCGCTGGTCTGTCCACTTGTCCTGTCCGCCGTGTCTGCCGGCCGGCCGGCCTGTTAGGCCCCTTCCTTTTCTCTCTCTGTACGCGCGAGTGTGTGGAGTATCTGTGTGTCTTTTTTTATGGCCATGCAATATCTTTCTCATTGCTGGCTTTCCTGTTCGCAGCCTCCTTGCGCTGCTTCATCCCGTGCTTCATGTACGGGGAGCATAAAATAAGATGGGAAAAAAGCGAATGTTCAAATTGAAATACTTTACAAAACTCGTATTTGCTTAGCCTTATCGGCCTCGCACAGATACAGGCGCACACATAGACAGACACACACCTCGGTCCTGGCAACGAAGTTTTTACTTCCCCGCTGTTGCCAAGAGCCGCCTGGGTTACCCCCAAGTCTGGTCTCACGTCTGAGGTTCGGCTCGGGCCTGTAACTGGTAAATAAAATGCAAAATGCTAAACAAGAAAAAAAAAGTAGTGGAAGACAGACCCCTAGCCTGGCCTGGCCTGGCATCTACATAATCCCCAAGCGATCAATAAAGCGGAGCAGCTTCTCTTCTGCAATTAGTGGGCTATATCATTCATCACAGCCGAGAGACAGATCATAATGCTCCTATAACGATGCTTAAGAGTGTGCCGCATCTTCTCTGTGCCCTTTCACAATTGTGGTTAACTGATTACCATGATCAGTGTATTTTTTAGTTAGTTTCAATGGGAATTTTTTATAATTTGACTTCTCGGCCCAACATTTGCAGCAAGTTCAATAAATCACCCAATATATTTTTTGGACAACATTTAATTCAATGAGCAAATTTTCAGTTAACAGAAAATTTCCAGAACCCTTCTTATCCGTAAATAAATTAAGTGATGGTAATTGGCTTAGCAGAAAATAATACTATTTAATATCCTCTATCATCTTAACTTTTCCATCATAAATCCCATTTTCCATTGTCTCGTGTCTGTCAAATCATAAAAGAATATTCATAAATTTGTTTACTGCAATCCACTTCCTGTAATCTTTTGCTGGAAATTGCTGAGCTTTGCTTTCTGGCGGGGTAAATCCAATCCTCTGTGTTAGAAATCGCAACTAATGGGCTCGGGTTAGCCATTAGCCAACGTCGTTACAGGGCTTTCTGGCTTTAACCAATAAAGCCAGCTTGCTGACCATGGCCTGGACTTGGACGTTGATATTCTGACTTACTCTTCCACTGGACCTGAACTCCGTACTCCAGACTGGATGTGACTTGCGCCACAATGTCATTAATTTTGCTCGTTGCCGGTTTACTGTCTGCTCGCTCCTTTGCCCACTCAGACGGCAACTAGTTTTTTTTCCCCTTCGACGCTTCTCTTCTTTAGAAAAGCCACTTGTCCAGGATTACACTCAAAAATTTCCGAAGGTTGGTTGAGATCAGAATTTAACTAATATTAAAGTTTTCAAACCTTACCTTAATAATTAACAGCTTTTTTTTAATAAAAATTGGGAATAGTAGAGAAATACATATAAATAGCTTTCATTTTAACACTAAAAAGTCTAAAACTATATTTTCTTTTAAGTATGGAAGTAGTTAGAGGAGACTCATCCTCCTTTATTTCTGAGCGCAACACAATTCCCCTTATTTTGTAGTTTTTTCTTTAGCCTTTGCCACCATGCCATGAAAATCTTAGTGTGTAACTGAAAATCTGATTGTGTTGGTGAGTCAACAAAGACACGCTCCAATCTCCACTGTACAGTGTGCACTTTACAGCACCCCTCCATTGCCACCCACTCAACAACCTCCAACCCCCTTCGCTTTTCAGTCTGCAATGTGTGCGCCCTTCGTTTGAGTCTTTAATTTTATTTGATTTTAACTCTGTAACTTGTTTGTTTAGGATTCTGTTGGGTGTTTTTCGGGTCCTTTACAGCTGCCTCTGACTCTACGCCCTGCTTCGGGCTTTTCGGTTTTTCCAGCTCCTGTTAACTTCATTTCACCGGAATTGTTTAGTCATGGGAAATTTCTCCAGATTCCATTACAGAAAGCTAATCAAAAGTGTTCTTAGGACACGACATTTATCTGATCGGGGCAGGCAGCTCTCCTAAAAAAAGTGGGAAAATCTCTTTCGATTTACTTTTGTTTTGTCAAACAGCGAGTTGCTGATAAAAAAAAGGGTTCCTCGAAAAATTCTACAAACGGCAAGACAAATTTATGGTTCTTGCCAGAAACATTTTTATCATTTATAAAGCATAGACATGACAGGTGACAATT